TTGAGGGAGTCTCATGATTGATCCTTCCATCTTGGAGCATAAACCCTGAAGATCCCTCTGGTTAAATTTCCTTGTATCTTTACAGGAGTGTGGAGGGGGATCTTGATGGGTTGGAGGGATATATGGGAAGGGATATGTCCTCATGTCTTAGAATCTCCCATGCTCTCCTTCCTTACAGGATCTGATAGGACACTGCAGCACTTATCTGAGCTTCTTACCTGCTTGCTGTCCCAGAATGATCCCATCTACTTGTGTCACCAGGGAGGAATGCTGGGGAAAATGTGTGAAAAGAATGAAATAAATTATTATTATTTTGCAAAAGATAAAGCTTTTATCGACAGTTATTTGTCAAGGAGACAGGTGTCATGCTCATACTTGTCTCCCCAATCAGTTGTAATACAGGGAATTGTGGAAAGGGAGAAGATAGAAAATTAGATCCAAAAATTCATATGGAATAATAAAAGACCCTGAATACCAAAAATGATCCTTAACAAAAAGAACAGTTCTGGAGGAATATCAATACCAAATTTCAAACTCTATTACAAAACTATAGTAATAAAAACAGCTTGGTACTGGCACAAGAACAGGCCTCAGGACCAATGGAATAGAATTGAAAATCCAGAAATGAACCTACAGACCTATAGCCATCTAATCTTTGATAAGGGAGCTAAAATAATAGAATGGAAGAAAGACAGCCTCTTCAGCAAATGTTGCTGGTAAAATTGTTTAAACACTTGCAGAAAACTAAAGTTAGATCCTTATCTATTACCCTGCACCAGAATCAACTCCAGATGGATCAAAGACCTCCAAGTCAAAGCAGACACTCTGAAAACATTACGGAATGGAATAAGAGAAACCCTAGGTCTCCTTGGCACAGGCTGAAACTTTCTTAATAGAGACCCAGGAACACAACAAATCAAAGAAAGGTTGGACAAATGGGATGCTTGAAATTGCAGAGCTTCTGCATGGCAAAGGACATAGCTAGCAAGATCAATAGAAAGCCCACGGATTGGGAGAAGATCTTCACTAGCCATACAATGGACAAGGGTCTCATATCTAAAATATACTTGGAACTCAAACAATTAAATTCCCCAACAACAAATCCTCAAAGAAACAACTGCTCAATAAATAAGTGGGCTAAAGACTTAAAGAGAAACTTCTCTGAAGAGGAAAGAAGGATGGCCAATAGACACATGAAGAAATGCTCAACATCCCTAGCCATAAAAGAAATGCAAATCAAAACAACATTGAGATTCTACCTTACCCCAGTTAGAGTGGCTATAATCAAGAACTCTAACAACAACAGATGCTGGAGGGGATGTGGACAGAAGGGAACCCTACTGCATTGTTGGTGGGAGTGTAAACTTGTTCAACCACTTTGGAAAATAGTATGAAGGTTCCTCAAAAGACTCCACATAGAGCTCCCCTATGACCCAGCAATCCCACTTTTGGGCATTTACCCAAATGATCACAAACAAGACCATACTAAAGATACCAGCACAACTATGTTTATTGCAGCATTATTTACCATAGCTAAGATATGGAACCAACCCAGACGCCCCTCAGTAGATGAATGGATCAAGAAAATGTGGTATATATACACAATGGAATTCTATGCCTCCATCAGAAAGAATGACATTGCTCCATTTGTTAGGAAATGGAAAGACTTGGAAAAATTTATATTAAGTGAAGTAAGCCAGGCCCAAAGAAACATAGGTCCCATGGATTCCCTTATTTTCAATAACTAGTATATGTCTGAGACAAGCAGAAAAAGTCAGATAAGTTGATATTAGGTGAAATGAACCCCAAGGTAAAGATTCAAATGTTTTTTTCTTTCTTGCAATTGTTTCTAACATATTTATAAGATTATTTCTTTGTTGCTTTGTATGTCCCTCCTCCACAGTATAACCCCTGCTTTCACTGTATTTGATGTTGTTATAATTTATGGAGGGGAAGGGAAAAAACAAATCGTTTAAATAGGGATACAGGTGGACCCATTGCAACAATGAGATGTACAAGTCGTTATGTCGAAAAATGAACTTTACAGCTTTGGCCATGGGTGTGTGTGTGGGGGTGATGGGAAGGGATGGGAAGGGGAAACAAAGGAGGAGGCAACAATGCTTGATAAGAAATGTACTCATTACCTTGCCCATGTAATTATAACCCCTCTTTATGTTATTTTCACAATTAAAAAAAAAGAAAAGAAAATTAAATCTTAGAAAGGGAGAGTTTTGGCTGATAGTTATATCTTTTCAAGGGTCATTTGTTTCTTTTCAAGGGTAATTATGCTTTCCATTTATGACATTTAAAGGTCATCATCCAACTCAGCAGGTTACTTTGGTTCGTGCCCATTCTTGAAAAGTTGGTTTCAAGCCAACTTCGTGTGACTTCCACAGCCCCGTCTGGGAAAACAGCTCCAAGACACTTCATTAAAGGAACTTATGTCTGGGTGTGTCCAGGCCTCTGTGAGTCCCACAAACACTTGTAATCCAGCAGAAGACTGCATACCATGGCATGTTAAAGGATGGTTCTGCTATTCTTTTTCACACCTGCCACACACACTATCTTCTCACAAGAAATCATTCTTTTATTTAAAAAAAAAAAAACACTTTTCTACTTAAAAAAATTGGTGTGTGTTTATTGTGCATAGCAATGGATACAGTGGTATTTCAATACATGCTCACAATATTCTTTGATATATAAATAGAATCTTCACCGTGTTCTGCATCCAAAAGGCCAATTCACCCTTACTTTTCAATGTCTGCCCTCCTGTGAAGGGCCCTAACCCTGTGCTCTCACATTCCTGGATCCTTGCGGACTTGTCACTTCTAATGCATTCCAAACACCCTGGATGTGTCATTTCCTGTGTCACTGGGGATAACAGGTATGTACCACTGCACCCAGCCATATGGGGTAACAGGTGCACCCAACTGTTAGCTAATCACTGAGATGGAGTCTTGTGAACATTTATGCCTAGGCTGGTTTCTCACCATGAGCTCCTGGTCTGTGCCTCCCAAGTAGTTAGGATTACAAGCTTGAGCATTACACCTGGCTAGCAATCATGTATTCTTTTTTTAGTGATGAGTGGAGGCATCATCCTGACACAGACACCAGCCTTGCTGTCTGCACCTCCTTGCCCCTTATGAAACCACAGCTATGTAGGGGGAGAAATAACTTGAATCTGGATAAAAGTTGCCAAAGCTTTGAACCTTTGGTTTCTCAAATTGCTACTTTGCTCCCAAGTATCCATTCTTTGCTTTCTGCATCAGCCCTGGGAGTCTGAGGACTCCAGGGGTTTTGCTACTGCATGCCTGTGGGTGGCCACTCCACGGTGGTACAGCCTCTACACAAACCTCCTGCTGCTTGTCCTGGAGCCTAAACTAGGAGAGCAGTTGCTTGCTTGCAACAGGCCAGTCAGGAGCCTGTGCCAGAGACATGTACTGTATGCAGTGGTTAGAACCACAACACCTATCTTTTGGGAGGAGATGTAGTAATCTCTGCCTTGATTCTGGGGCTTTTCCCCTTCTTTGTACCTCTGCTGACTTCCAGTGGCCATATCTGCTCTGTACCATGCTCTGCACATGGCAGGAAACAGAGCCTCGAAAGAGTGGTGCCCAGGATACCTTCAATAGGTGATGACAGGAAGAGGGACCTGTGTAACCAGTTCCCTCACCTAGAGGGCCAGAGCTCTAGTCACCTTCAGTGACACTTGTCATGTGAAGGTACTTTCATATCCATCCTCTCTTCCTGTCATACCCTCCTCCTCCTCCTCTCCCAGGCTTTCTTGGAGCTTGTAAATGTTCTGCTTGTTTGCACCTCTTGTGGCTGAGGGACCCAACCCATTTTCTCTTGGAGAGGAATTTCTGTCTAAGTTCTTGCCACTTCTTTTACATTGGGCTGAAAAAATTCAGGAAACAATTTCTCTTTATAAGTATCTCTTAAATCATGCTTAGGTAGAAGTTTTCTTCTGAGTTTACAAAATTCTAGAAGGAGTTGGGTACTCGTGGCTCACAATTGTATTTTTAGTTACTCAGGAGGCTGAGATCTGAAGATCATGATTGGAAGCCAGCCCAGGCAGGAAAGCTCTGTCCATCAGTGAGACTCTGAACTCCAGTTAACCAGCAAAAAGCCAGAAGTAGAGGTATAACTCAAATGATAGAGTATGAGCCTTGAGTGGAAAAAGCAAAACTGGAGTATGAGGCTCTGAGTTCAAGCCCCGGTACTGGTACACACTTCTAAATAAACCTGTGAAATCCACAATAGAGGCAGCAATTGAAAGAGTCCTAGAGGACCCCTTCCTAATCTTTTGCTCCTAGAACTCAAGAAGGGTGTAGATTCACCTGGACTCTCAGGTGAACCCTCCCTACTGGCTGTGGCCATGTGTGAAGACAAAATCTTCTCAGGTGTAGAAAGGATTATAAATTTGGCCTTTTTTTTGTTTATTTCACGAAGCATTTTGAAATGTTGGCAAAGTGTTATGCAAATCAGGTTTTTAGTCCTGATTTGACCCAATAGACAGGAGAAATATTTCATTCAGGAATATAATATCTAATCTTTCTCAGTCTTATAGCTAAACATCAAGTGTTTGCCTGCCTTTCCTTCACTTGGCCTCTTAGAAAGACCTGCCTTCCCATAGCTTCTTGTACTGTTCCCTGAAGAGCCAGTTGCTCGGACTCCTGGAACTGTCTCCTGATGAAAGCCAGCAATGAAGGCCTGTAGGGCCCGAAGGCTCTGTAGACCCACAGGTTAGCTGGGTTCTCCTATTGGATTGCCTGGTCAGCTGTTAACTTGGCCTCAGGGTGAAGCAGAAGTAGAATAGCTCTTCATCTTCATGAGAACAGAATGTACAGGGCCACTCTGATGCTTCTGGGAGACCCTTCCATTCTGTCTTCTGTGAATGGGACAGCATCAGTGTCCCACTTAGTCCAGTCTCTGTTGGACCAAAGGTGCCCATCACCTGCAGGTGATGCAGGTGAAGTGGGCCTGAGAACCCTGGGAAACCCTGTAGAAAGCCTCTGATTCACACCACCAGATATGCAAATGGACTTCAAGGGAACCTCTGTTTATTTAAGCAGGACATGAGCTCCAATTCCAGAGCAGTGGACAGAAAACCAGGTCCCCAAATCCTCTCTCCTCAACCTTTGGGTCTTGAACCACTGGATGCTGTGGGCTTCTCTTCAAGATGAGCTTCCTAGCCTGGTTCCTCTGTCTCCTGGTGGTGGATTTTTGGGGTGAGTGCATTTTCTCTGCAACTGTTGGGATGGTAACTTAGCTCTTGACCCAGAGACAATGCCTTTTAAGTATACCTGGGAAATTACAATCTTTGGAGTTCTTCTAACTTAATTCTTATTTAATAAACCAAGGCACAGAGTCCGAGGCTAACAATCAATATTGAGGCAGTTTTGAACCAGTCCTCTGCCTCTCTGAGGAACAGGGATTGCATAGTTTTCCCTGGAATCCTTTGGGAGAAGTAATACTTTGTGTTGCTTGGGTGGGGTGTCCTTTCAGGCTGCAGAGCACAGATCATCCTGACTCAGTCTCCAGACACCCTAGCTGCAAGTCTAGGGGACTTTGTCTCCATTGCCTGTAGAAGCAGCATGAATGTCGGTACCTCCATGGCCTGGTACCATCAGAAACCCATGGAGGTTCCCAGATTGCTCATCTTCGGGGCTTCTGCCAGGGCTGCTGGAACCCCTTCCAGGTTCCGGGGAAGTGGTTCTGGCATTTTCTTTTCTCTTGCCATCCATGGAGTGGAAGCTGAAGACTTTGGAGTGTTTTACTGCCAGCAGCACTTCAGCCAGCCTCTCACAGTGATGGATTTCTAAATAAAAACATCCCTGCTGCCCTGCTGCAAACATACTTGCTTCCTGCAGGAGGCGTAATGGGAGACGTGTGAAGAGCACACACAGCAGATGGCCTTGCTTTCAGAGTGTGTGCTTTCTGAGCTGTTGAAGCAGGGGCAGGTGTTAGAACTGTGACCTCACATTGAAACCAGATCCACATAGAGGAAACAGTGGAAGGGAGGAGGAGCAACCTGTGGTCTAGACAGATGCTTCACTGGAATTTATTGACTAACGTTTGCATAATGCAGTATCATAATGCGCACAGTGCACTTCAAAATTGAAGACTGAAATGATGATTTCTTGTTTCTTGTGATTTTCTGGTTCGAAAGGGAGACTTATCTGCTGCTTTACCTGGGCTCTGTCTTGCAGCTGAAGGAAGCTGGAACAGCTGGCTTGGAGGTTTATGTCAGCCCGATACCCCTATCTGCCAATTGGGTCTCAGTTTCATGCCAATAGGAGAAGAGGTAGAAATGTGTTACTTCAACTTGAGGCATTTAAGGCTGAATTTTCTTTTTTAAAAAATAAGTTTTTAGAACCTACAGACCTATAGCCATCTAATCTTTGATAAGGGAGCTAAAACAATAGAATGGAAGAAAGACAGCCTCTTCAGTAAATGGTGCTGGCAAAATTGGTAAACTACTTGTAGAAAACTAAAGCTAGATCCTTATATATCACCCTGCACCAGAATCAACTCCAAATGGATCAAAGACCTCCAAGTCAAAGCAGACACTCTGAAAACATTACAGGATGGATTAGGAGAAACCCTAGGTCTTCTTGGCACAGGCCAAAATTTTCTGAACAGAGACCCGGAAACACAACAAATCAAAGAAAGGTTGGACAAATGGGATTGCATGAAGTTGCAGAGCTTCTGCATGGCAAAGGACATAGCTAGCAAGATCAATAGAAAGCCCACGGATTGGGAGAAGATCTTCACTAGCCATACAACAGACAAGGGTCTCATATCTAAAATATACTTGGAACTGAAAAAATTAAATCCCCCAACAACAAATCCTCAAAGAAACAACTGCCCAATAAATAAGTGGGCTAAAGACTTAAAGAGAAACTTCTCTGAAGAAGAAAGAAGGATGGCCAATAGACACATGAAGAAATGCTCAACATCCCTAGCCATAAAAGAAATGTAAATCAAAACAACATTGAGATACCACCTCACTCCAGTTAGAATGGCAAAAATCAAGAACTCTAACAACAGATGCTGGAGGGGATGTGGACAGAAGGGAACCTTACTTCATTGCTGGTGGGAGTGTAAACTTGTTCAACCACTTTGGAAAGCAATATGAGGTTCCTCAAAAGACTTCACATAGAGCTCCCCTATGACCCAGTAATCCCACTTTTGGCCATTTACCCAAATGTTTACAAACAAGACCACACTAAAGCTACCAGCACAACTATGTTTATTGCAGTATTATTTACCATAGCTAAGATATGGAACCAACCCAGACGCCCCTCAGTAGATGAATGGATCAAGAAAATGTGGTATATATACACAATGGAATTCTATGCCTCCATCAGAAAGAATGACATTTCCCCATTTGTTAGGAAATGGAAAGACTTGGAAAAATTTATATTAAGTGAAGTAAGCCAGGCCCAAAGAAACATAGGTCCCATGGTTTCCCTTATTTGCAATATCTAGTATATGTATGAGTCAAGCGGAAAAGGTCAGATATGTGATGTTAGGAAAATGAACCCTTAGATATGTATTTTAATGTTTTTTTCTTTCATGCATTTGTTTCTAACGCATTTATAAGATTATCTCTTTGTTGCTTTGTATGTCCCTCCCCCACAGTATAACCCCTGCTTTCACTATATTTGATGTCAGTATAACTTGTGGAAGAGATGGGGAAAAACAAGTTGTTTAAGCATACAGGTGGACCTGTTGCAACAATGAGAAGTACAAGTTGTCATGTTGAAAAATGAGCTTTACAACGTTGGTGGGGGGGGGGGGGGGGGAGGATTGGGTGGGGGGGGGGTGGGGGGGGGCGGCTGGGAAGGGATGTGAAGGGTAAACAAAGGAGGAGGCTGCAATGCTTGATAAGAAATGTACGCATTATCCTGCCCATGTAATTGTAACCCCTCTGTACAGTATGTTCACAAAATAAAATAAAATAAAATGAAAAAAATAAGTTTTTATTGGGAAAATACTGTACAGAGGGGTTACAGTTACATGAGCAAGGTAATGCGTACATTTCTTATCAAGCATTGCAGCCTCCTCCTTTGTTTTTCTCCTACCATCCCTTCCCTCCCACCTCCTCAACTAATGTCCCCCCCACTACCTCATCCCTCCCCCCCTCCCCCCTCTCCCGCCTAAATTGTAAAGTCATTTTGCAACATAGTGTCTTGTATATCTCTCATTGTTACAATGGGTCAACCTGAATCCCTATTTTTCCCTTCCCCTCCCCAAATTATACCGACATCAAACAGTGAAAACAGGGGTTATACCATGGGGAAGGAATATACAAAGCAACAATAAAAATCACATGGTGGGCTGGGAAGTTGGCTCAGTGGTAGAGCGTTTACATGGTATGCATGTGGCCCTGGGTTCGATTCCTCAGCACCACATAAGCAAAAAGCAAAAAGCTGGAAGTGGCCCTGTGGCTCAAGTGGTAGAGCGCTAGCCTTGAGCTGAAGAGCTGAGGGACAGCACCTAGGCCCAGAGTTCAGGCCCCACCACAGGACCCCTCCCCCCTAAAAAAATCACATGGTACCTTATAAATACCTTAGAAACAATGTCAAGAAAAGAACAAAACCCTTGTGTCCCTATCTTGGGGTTCATTTCACTTAACTTCTTATCATATGTACATAGCTTTTGACCTTTTCTACTTGCCCCAGACATATACTATTTATTACAAATAAGGGAAACCATGGGACCTATGTTTCTTTGGGACAGGCTTACTTCACTTAATATTATTTCTTCCAAGTCTTTCCATTTCCTAACAAATGGGGCTGTGTCATTCTTTCTGATGGAGGCATAGAATTCCAATATATATATATATATATATATATACGCCACATTTTCTTGATCCATTCATCTACTGAGGGGCATCTGTGTTGGTTCCATATCTTAGCTATGGTAAATAATGCTGCAATAAACATAGTTGTGTTGGTAGCGTTATTATGGTCTTGTTTATGATCATTTGAATAAATCCCAAAAGTAGGATTGCTGGGTCATAGGGGAGCTCTATGTGGAGTCTTTTGAGGAACCTCCATACTATTTTCCAAAGTGTTTGAACAAGTTTACACTTCCACCAACAATGCAGTAGGGTTCCCTTCTGTCCACATCCCCTCCAGCATCTGTTGTTATTAGAGTTCTTGATTATAGCTATTCTAACTGGGGTGAGGTGGAATTTCAATGTTATTTTGATTTGCATTTCTTTTATAGCTAGAGAGCTGGAATATTTCTTCATATGTCTATTGGCCATTCTTACTTGCTCTTCAGAGAAGTTTATCTTTAAGTGTTTAGCCCACTTATTTATTGGGCAGTTGTTTCTTTGAGGATTTGTTGTTGGGGATTTAATTTTTTGAATTCCAGGTATATTTTAGATATGAGACCCTTGTCTGTTGTATGGCTAGTGAAGATCTTCTCCCAATGTGTGGGCTTTCTATTGATCTTGCTAGCTATGTCCTTTGCCATGCAGAAACTCTGCAGCTTCATGCAATCCCATTTGTCCAACCGTTTTTTGATTTGTTGTGTTTCTGGGTCTCTATTTAAGGCTGAATTTTCTGTAGAGAATTTTAAATTAATGATAAAACTAGCTGTACATGGTGCTCCAAACTAGAATGTTACCTATTTGTGAGGCAGAGATAAGGAGAATCATAATTCAAGGCCACCCCAGGCACAAGTAGTTCATAAGACTGCATCTCAACCAATTTAAGAAAATGTCCATTATTCCAGCTATGCAGGAAGTATTAGTAGGAGAATCTCTATCAAGGATGGCCTGAATATAAGGAAGAGATCCCATTTGCAAAATAACTAAGAAGCAAAAGAGATTGAGTATGTGCCTCAAATGTTAGATGACTTGCCTATCAAATATGAGGCACTGGGTTTAACCCTCCCTATTGCTCAAAATACCGCAAATCCTCTTCTTTCTTGCCAGGCCCAAAGAAACATAGATTCCCATTGTTTCTCTTATTTGCAGTAAATAGTATATGTCTAGGACAAGTAGAAAAGATCAAAAGCTCTGTATGTATGATAAGATAAGATGAAGTTAAGCAAAATGAACCCCAAGATAAGGACACAAGTGTTTTTTTTTTCTTGCTATTGTTTCTAATGTATTTATAAGGTACCATGTGATTTTTTTGTTACTTTGTATATTCCTTTCCCATGGTATAACCCCTGTTTTCACTGTGTTTGATGTCAGCATAATTTGGGGAGGGGAAAGGAAAAAACAAAATGTTTAACTAGGGATACAGGTTGACCCATTGCAACAATGAGATGTACAAGACACTATGTTGAAAAATGAACTTTACAATTTGGGTGGGAGGGAGGGAGTGTAGTTGTGGAGGTGGGAGGGAAGGGATGGTAGGGGAAAAACAAAGGAGGAGGCAACAATGCTTGATGAGAAATGTACTAATTATCTTGCTCATGTAACTGTAACCCCTCTGTATGGTATTTTCACAATAAAAAGCTTATTAAAAAAAGAAATTCTGAACATATCAGAGATAAAATCTTTTTCCTCATGGGAATGATCATGCCATTGTCTACTCCTGCTCTACTTGTGATGCCATGGAAAGTCTTGGGTGTGTTTGGGAGCTGATGTTGGCTGCTGGCTGGGCACCTCAGTATCCACCATGGGACCTCTTTTTCTCCATTAGCTGCATCAAGTTTTTACATTCCTAGAGCAGAGGGTCAAAGTGCAAGTTGTCTTAGTGCTGTTTTTGCCATTCTATTAGTCAAGCAAGGTTAGAGTTTTGAAATATTTTCTCTTTTCCAGTGGTTTTGAAGCATTTCAGATAACTTGATAATCACTCTTTAACTATTTGTTAAAATTCAGCCCTGAAGCCCTCAAGTCCTGGGATGTTCTTTGATAGAATTTTTTAAAAGTGTGATGTTATTTAAATTTTCAAAATTTTATTGTTCTAATAAAGGGATTACAATTTCATTAGTCAGGCTATGAGTATGATGCTTCTCGACAAGGTCACCCCTTCCTTTGGTTTTCCCCCCTTTCCCTTACTGTTCCTATCCACCAGTGTACAGTGTGTACATTACATAGTATACATTGAATACAATGGCTGCATTTGTTCACCATCCTTCCCTCCATTTCTGTGCCCCTCATTTTCCCTCTTCTCCCAAAACATTTCCATTTCTTGATATTCCTTTTGTACAAAGAGGTTATACAATTACATAAGTCAATGGCAATAAGTTGATCAATGTCACCCCATCTGATGGGAATTTTTTAAAGTACCAATTTTACCTTATTACTTGCTATTGGTTATTCATAATTTTTATTCCTTTCTTCAGCTCTGGTTGATTGATTGTGTCTAGGATTTTTATCATTTTATTCTAGCTTATCCAATGTGTTGCATAGAATTGTTCATTAGAGTTTGTTATGATCATTATTTTTCCAAGTATCAATTTTAAAATTTCTGCCTTCATTTCTAATATAATTTGAGTCTTAGCTATTTTCTTATCTAACCAAGTAGTATGTTAAGAAATCAAATGTTGGAAAAAAGTCCAACTAATGGTTAATCAATTTTATTTTTCCATAAAACTAACACAACCTAAATTCTTCTCTCTCTCTTTCTCCTTCCTTCCTTCCTTGTTCCCTTCCTTCCTTCCTTCCTTCCTTCCTCCCTCCCTCCCTCCCTCCCTCCCTTCCTTCCTTCCTTCTTTCCTTCCTTCCTTCCTCCCTCCCTCCCTCCCTCCCTCCCTCCCTCCCTCCCTTCCTTCTTTTCTCTTGTTTTGTTTTAGTTTGTTTGAGACAGTTTCTCATAATGTAGCTTATACTATATCTGGAGCATAAATGCATGAAATTCTGTATAAATAATTTAAAACACTAATTTAAAAAAGTTCAATGATGTCAAGAAGATACGAATGAATAGTTGAATGAACAGGTAAGGGAGATAATATAATTTTTAGACGTCAACATTTACGAAAAGAGATTCTGAAAAAAAGCACAGCCAAACAGGAATCGTGGAACTGTAAAGTTCAGTAAGCCAATAACACTCCCAACTCAATGGAAAGAACAACCAAGAGACTGAGTGTCAGTCTTACCCTTTGTCACAAGATGATTGGAGTCCCAGGGTGACTGGGTTGGGAGAGTCAGGAAAAAATTGGTTGAATTGTCAGACAGGGACAAAATTGAGTCAGCTAGACTTGTGTCCAAGCCTTCCTTTAGTATAATTTAGAACTCTAGATACATAAACAGTAAATATATTCAGATTTTCTTTATTATATAGTATTATATTTTAAGTATTATGTTTTCACGAACATTTTTACTGTAGCAAGTTCCAGGAATATTAGAAACCTGCAATGATGCAAGAATACATAAATAGGAAATTCATATGAATAAAATGAGATTTTTCCCATTTTGTACAATATCACTTCAGATAGATATATCTAGAGCATAGGTAACTACAGACCAGGCTTCCTTAGAAAGGGCTGAGGACACTACACTTCTACACTTGTTACTTCTGCAAAATGAAATGGTGGGAGCATTTCACACTACTGGGTCTTTCTATTTAATATTCTACAGTATAGTACAGTTGTGTGATGTGACTGGAATTTTCCTTCAGAGAAGTTTCTGATTCTCAGAGAGACAGCCACGTACTGAGAAACTGAGTGGGAGCCACTGAACATCCTAAGACTTTGCCAATAGGTAGAAGAGATATATAAAGTTCTATAAGTATCTAAGAAAAACTTGGAAGAAAAGACTTCTCCCCTCAAAAACAACACACACACACACACACACACACACACACACACACAAGTTCAAACTCTATGTTTTTACAAAGCAAGGCCCAAAGGGAATATTATAATGTCTGGTATTAGAAGGTGACTAAAAAATCAAGCTGCTTCTCAAATGCACAGCTCTTTAGATTGTCATATGTATATGTGTATGTATATGTATATATATCCATTTATTTATGCCACTCCTGAAGCTTAAACTTAGGAACTGGGTGCTGTTCTTTAGCTTTTTCATCAAGGCTGGTCTTCTACCACTTGAGTCCCAGCTCCACTTTTTGCCTTTTGCTGGCTTTTGGAGATTAGAGTCTCACGGACTTTCTTGCTGGGGATTCCTTTGACCAATGATCCTTACCTCTCCACCTTCTGAGTGGTTAAAACGATAGGAGTGAGCCACTAGTGCCTGGCTTGTAGACTGTCTTAAAACAAAAGTGACTATGAGGAAATTATATGTTTAACCACAACAATGGTGAGCCCAGGAGATCCAGTGGGCCCAGGATGTATGTGAATATAATTGAATGTAATACTGTTACAGAAGATAAAAATCCATCATTTTGATGGATGATATACAAATTTTAATGCATTTTACATGGTTTACTGATTTTAAATTAGGAACGGTGTCTGTACAGTAGGAATAGAAAGACTCAGAATACAGAGTGATCACAAAGTTTTCATCCAAACTGGGTCATTTGTGAGAATAAACAGGGAAGGCTTTAGTGATCGTCCTAGAAAATTATCAGGCAAGAAAAAAAAATAGTGGCCCTCAGATATGAGGGAAAGCTAATGAAAGATGGGAGATGGGAGAAGGAAGTAATACAAAATAGCTAAAAGGCAGAATATAAGATGCTTTGATCCTCTCGATAAAGAATCATGGAGGTAAATATGAGTCATTAAGCTATTTGCCTTCTCACTGACATGAATTTGCTCCAGATTTCTTCTCCCCGTGCCTATGGCTCATAGAATAGGATGAAAGCAATACATTAACTCATAACTGTCATTTACACCCATTACTAAAAGATGATATGCTATGAATTTCTAGAGAGACAATTATGTTTCTATCAAAGTTTCAGTCTGGAGTGGGCATCTAGTTTCTTTTCTTTCTTCATTTGTGGAAGACAATCCTTTATTCTAAGTACAAACACTGAGCCTCTGAGGACAAATACAGAAGCAGGACATTACAGATGATTATATTTTTTTTGTCAGTCATGGGGATTTGAACTCTGGCCCTGGACATGTCCCTGAGCTTTTTTGCTCAAGACCAGTGCTCTACCACTTTGAGCCACAGAGACACTTCTGGTTTTCTGGTGACTAATAGGAGATAAGAATCTTATGGACTTTCTTGCCCAGGCTGGCTTTGAACCGTGATCCTGAGATCTCTGCCTCCTGAGTAGCTAGCATTACAGGCATGAGCTACCAGCCCCTGGCTAGATTTAATCTTACAAACACCAGGGAGAAACTCCTGTGGGATTAAATGTGGACACCAGAAGGAAATGAAAACCCTGTTTGTCTCAGTTCTGCAGCTGACTAGAAACAGCTGTTGCTCATTTGCATATTTTTTCTAGAGTCCATTTCTGTCCCTTAAGATCATCAGGAATACCTGCTCAGTGAATGAAGAAAGAGAGCCTCAGGCACTGAACATGGACATCCTGCTTTCTTTACTCTTCTTTCTGCTGTTTTGGAGCCCAGTGAGGTCTCGACTGTAGGGAAAGTCCTGAGAGGAGGGGAGGTCTCTTCTCCTAACAGTGAGAATCTGATTAGCACCCATCTTGGTGGGTCTCTGATCCTTAGTCTCCCCTCAGAGATCCAAGTACTCTGAGGTTAGAGGACCAGAAGAAGCAAGATCTGCTGGAAGAGAAGTTAGTGCTGTAAAACATGTCTTTGTGTTTTTTCTCTTCTCAGCCACCAGCGGGCGCACACTGATGACTCAGTCTCCAGCCTTGGTGTCCCTGTCTCCAGGAGACAGCATCTCTGTAACTTGCAGAGCCAGTGAGACTGTCAGTGATTATGTGACCTGGTATCAACAGAAACCAGACAAAGCTCCCAAGATCCTCATCTATGATGCTGATAACCAGTATCCTGGGGTCTCAGATCGTTTCATAGGAATTCAGTCTGGGACAGATGTCATTTTCAAAATCAACAGAGTAAACGTAAGTGATATAGCCACTTACTACTGCCAGCAGAGTTACACAGTCCCTCCCACAGTGGTATAGCCCTGTGCACAAACTGTCCTCCCAAGCTGCCTGTGTAGAAAGGTTACATGGTTCAGAAAGCTGCCATCTCTCCTGTGGTATGCTCAGACCCACAGCAAACATAGGAGAGGTATTTACATATATCAAAGGTAAAAGTCTCCCCAAAGCATGTTTTCTTCTAAACACAACCCTTCTCTCCACCCTGCTGGTCTTTCAATTAGTTCTAAAAATGATATTTCCATGTCAGACCTTCAAAAAACTTCATGTATAATATGATCTTTTGCGTCCAACATTCTGAAAACATTTCCTTCCTTCCTTCCTTCCTTCTTCCTTCCTTCCTTCCTTCTTCCTTCCTTCCTTCCTTCCTTCCTTCCTTCCTTCCTTCCTTCCTTCCTTCCTTCCTTCCTTCCTTCCTTCCTCCCTTCCTTCCTCCCTCCCTCCCTCCCTCCTCCCCCCTCCCTCCCTTCCTTTCTCCCTCCCTCCCTCCCTTTCTCCCTCTCTCTCTCTCTCTCTCTCTCTCTCTCTCTCTCTCTCTCTCTCTCTCTTTCTTTCTTTCTTTTTGTTCCAGATTGGGACTCAAACTTGGTATCTGAGGCTTTCACTCACTCATTGGCTGGTACTCTACCTCATGAGCTATGTCTCCAACCACTGAAGCATTTTTTTTGGTCAGTCCTGGGGCTTGAACTCAGGGCTGGGCACTGTCCAGCTTCTTTTGCTCAAGGCTAGCACTCTACCACTTGAGCCACAGTGCCACTTCTGACCTTTTCTGTTTATGTGGTACTGAGCAATCAAACCCAGGGCTTCATGCATGCTAGGCAAGCACCCTACCACTAAGCCACATTCCCAGTCCCCTGAAACATATTTTTAAGGGCAGAAAAATGAACACACAATAGGAGAGACCATCTGTCAGGGAATAGGGGAATCACAACTACTCTAGCAATCATCATAAGTAGTCAAATTACTCTATTGCCAGTCACCATTCATTGAAGTCTTGAAGATTCATTATGTGTTGAACTTGGAACTCAGGGCTTCCTCATCTTGTGTAATTAATCCCACAATCATCTTCTTATAGGCAAGAAACTTAACCCTCTCAGAAGTTAGCTTGCTCATTGTAGGGAAGAAGATAGAAACAGATTCTGATGCTCTGTCTCTTTTAACACCTGCTTGTTCATTCTTCAATTCATTTATTCAAAGCAGATACAATTAAGGAAATAAAGTACTTTTACTTAAAGTGAATGCTAAGTGTGCAGTTGAGTGAGTATAAACGTATACACATGCTTTTTAGCCATCACATAGCAGAAGGCATAGACTGTCTCTATCACCTCATGTTCTCCCTCACACTCAGTCACATCTGTACTGTATCCATTACCTTGGAGGCAGTATAGGTTCCATATGGGTCCTATATTCTTGATCTGATATGTTCTCTTTGGCACCTTATTTCTTTTGGTCACCATGGTTTTTGAAATTCATCTGTGTATGTGGTGGGTACTAGGCTTACTGTTGCTGTGGGAAAAACAACTTGATACAAACAACTTGAGTGGGAAAAAGATCTATTTTGGCTCATAGTTTCAGAGATTTCAGCTCATAGCACTTGGCCTCATAGATTCTAGGCCACTGGTAAGGTGGAATGTCGTGGAGGTAGGAGCATGTGACAGAGGAGGATCTTCCACTCCTTGTGGACAGGAGGGAGGGGGTAAGGGAAGCAGGGAGAGAGAGAGGGAAGAGAAAGAGGGAGGGAAGGAAGGTGGGAAGGAACAGAGAAGAGAGAGAAGTAGAAGAGAAGGGGAGAAAGAGAGGCAGAGAGAAAAGGAGAGAGTGTGGGGGGGGGAGAGATGCAGAGAGAAAGATACAACAGGGAAGGACACAGAGAGAAACAACTGGTTCAGAGACCAGCTACATTTCCCAAGGACACACTCTTCCAGGGACTTGCTTCCTCCAGATAGGCCTCACCTCCCAGTTTCCATCACTTTCCCAAATAGCTCCACCAGCTAGGGACTGTGTTTCACACATGAACTGGTAGGAACATTTCATATTCAAAGTCTAAGATTGGAGTGGTGACGTTCCCTTTTTACTACAGATACAGTTCACAGAATCTGAACATATCAAATAATTTGCTCATCTTTAATGATTTAAGAAAATTGAGCCTGTTACTCATTAAAATTTTAGAGATATTCTTGCCATATTTCTTATAGATATGTACATTTACTTCTCTTGACTGTGTTTCTAGGAATGAAAATGGGGACATATAGGGTTGGTTGGTACAGGTTTGTTACCAGACTCAGGACTGGAAGCTCAGTTCATAGAAAATCCAGGATCTGAGGGACAATTCTTGGGAAATAAGAACAGCTTTATTCAGTGACTAAGGAATGGGGAGGCATGGGGAAGGGAGTTGCTCCTATGTAAGGAGATTGATAGGTATGTCTCTTCTGGGAATGACTGGTGTATAGCTTCCAGGGCTTTGGAAGCACTGAAGAGTTGTTTATGTCTCTTGAAGATGAATATTTCACCAATATGTTAGAATTTTCCAGAGAAATGGAACTAATGGAATATGGGTATACAGGTAATAATCAAAGAAGATTTGTAAGATTGGCTCGTGATCACAGAGGCTTGATCAAGACAGCAATGATTATCTTCACAGTGGATACTCAGTGCATCTGACAACTGCTCACTCTAACAAGCTAGAAGCCTCAGAATAAGGAAGAGGCCAGTACACCACCCCAGTCCTGGAAACCTGATGAAGCACACTGGTGCAAGTTCAAATTCAAAGGCAGAAGAATCAGTCACAAGAATCTGGAATCTCGTGGCTAAAGGTAACAACAATACAAAATGTACCCACTCCAGGAAAGAGTGACAGAAATAAAACAACAGAACAGACCATCTCCCTTCTATGTTTTTTTCTTTCATGTCTAGCTGAGTCTTACCCACATGACCATGTGATATTCTTCTCTAAAGCCAGGGTACAAACACACCCAAAGTATGCTTTTCCAATCTCTAGACATCCTTCAGTCAAGCTGACAGTTTAAATTCACTATCACAGTCAGGAATTTGTTCTATAGATCTATCACATGCCATTTTAATTTATTTCTTAATTTTAATACATATAATAGATTGTAATATACATATCGTATATATGATATACACAGATTTAAGGAAAATTAAATCACTTTATTAGGCTTTCTCCTCTATGAACATAGTAAAAGTCTACTTAATATTATTTAACCCACAACAAATACATGTGCATTAACAGTAAATCCTGATGTTTTGCTATATTCTTAATGTTTACTAATCTTTTGGTAAGGTCTTTATAAATTTTTATACAAAATTTGGTTGTTAGTATTTAAAGGTATTTGACTTCTTTATTTCAAACTTTGTCTTGACTTACTGTATGTGCTAAGGCCTTCAGTATAAGCTTTTATTTATTTTTGCTGGTCTTAGGGCTTGAACTCAGGGCCTGTGCGTTATCTCTGAGCCTCTTTGTGCTCAAGGCGCAACCTCTGGCTTTTTCTGAGTAGTTTATTGGAGATAAGAGTCTCATGGACTTTTCTGCCTAGTCTGGCTTTGAACTGTGATTCTCAAATCTCAGCCCACAGAGTCGCTAGGATTACAAGCGTGAGCCACAGGTACCTGAATCCAGTATAAGCGTGAATAAAAGCAACAAAAAGAGGACACTTTTCCCAGTGGAAAGAATAATTATATTTCATCAATGAATATGAGATGTTAGACACTTTATCAGGAGTGTAGACAAAGATTTCCAAGACTTACAGTGAGAGGGGCTGAGTTTGGTTGATGGATGGATAGCACACCATAGAGTGGAAAACAACCTCCACTGAGTAGTTCCTTGCTTGCATGAGAAGTGCTAGTCTCTGTCTTTTCAGAAATCATTTCCAGCTAACCTCCCAAAAGCTGCAAGTGGAGCTATGGCTCAAGTGGTAGAGTGCTAGCCTTGAGCGAAAAAACTCAGGGAGAGGCCCTGTGTTTAAGCCCCAGGATGGTCACCATATATCATCATATATGATGCATGTAAATGATAGTCTTCTCTTTGTCTCAGTTAATAGTTTTGGTACAATCTGTTTTCCTGGAAGAGAAGATTACTATGCATTATCCTAATTAGTTTCAATATTTTCCTACTACTGCTAACACATCAGGGCTCCTGGATATGGTATGGCCCGCCTACGGTAAGTGAAGTAAGCCAGGCTCAAAGAAACAAAGGTCCCATGGTTTCCCTTATTTGCAATAACTAGTATATATCCGAGACAAGCTGAAAAGGTCAGATAGATGATGTTAAGTAAAATGAACCCCAAAATAGGGACACAAGTGTTTTTTTCTTTCTTGCTATTGTTTCTAACATATTTATAAGGTACAACGTGATTTTTTATTGCTTTGTATGCCCCTCCCCCACGGTATAACCCCTGTTTTCACTGTATTTGATATTGTATAATTTGGGGAGTGGAAGGGAAAAAATTGTTTAAATAGGGACACAGGTTGACCCATTGCAACAATGAGATGTACAAGATGCTATATTGAAAAACGAACTTTACAATTTAGGTGTGTGTGTGGGGGGAGGGAGGAATGTAGTTGTGGAGATGGGAGGGCAGGGATGGTAGGGGAAAAACAAAGGAGGAGGCTGCAATGCTTGATGAGAAATGTACTCATTATCTTGCCCATGTAATTGTAACCCCTCTGTACAGTATTTTCACAATAAAAAAGAAATGTACTCATCACCTTGCTCATGTGATTATAACCCCTCTGTACAGTATTTTCACAATGAAAAAAGAAGAAAGAAAAAAAAGAAGTCAAAAAAGTCTCCACCTGCCTCTTTCCTTGAAAGAACTGCTTCTCAGACATACTGCAATAAGTGTTTTCTTGTCCTCATTGTGCTCTGCCTCCTCCTCCTCCACCACTTCCTCTTCCTCCTTTTCTTACTCCATCTTGTGCATGGAGCGTAGAGCAGAAGAGAGGTTTGTTGTTGGTATTGTTGTTATTTTTGGTCAACAGAGAAAATACTTTACAAATAGAGAAAGAATATTTCCTTCAGTTCTGATGAAGTTGCAGAGGACACTGCTGAGCGATAAAGATGTATACCATCTCTAGTTAGAAGAAAAGAGCTTCAAATCTTGACCAGTTATAGAAAAAAAGCAGCCAGCTTCAGTCTTGGGTACCAAGGATTTAGGGAGCAACCTGAGCCTGGGGTTTGACCTCAATTCACACTCAAGGAAAAACTTCTCCCTTTTAATCTGAAAGAGCATTTCTACTTGAGCCTCAGAAGGGAAAAAGCCTCTGTGTGGTTTCCTCTTACCTAAAGTAATGTGGTTTTGGGCTGGGTGGACAGACAGGTTCTATAGGACCATGCTCCTCACCTCTCCATCACTCACCTCAAAGTGAAAGAAAAGAAGGGACCCAACAAGTATTTTTCAGGCAGCCTGCCAGTGTTATAATCCCCAAACCAATAGCTTCTAGTAACATGGAGAAACATCAATACAACTCACATGTGCAACATTTTCCTCATTCTTGATGACAGTCAAGAAGAGAGTGAATTTATAGAGATCGTATTCTTCACCTGGAATTCTCACTCCCTTTCCTAACTCTTAGAATTTAGTGTTTGTTGGTCAGGGTTTTTAAAAATTTGTTTGTTGACTTTTGTTTGTTGACTTTATTATATATTATTTGTGTTAACTTTATTATATTTTATTTGTCCTGAACAGAGCATTGATTGTCAAAGTAAAGGAGAGCAAAATGCTTTCTAAGAAATATGGATATAGTGCCTTCTCTCTAAAAATATATAGAGAAATGCTAACACTTCTTGAATTAAGAATGGTTTTTAAATATATTTTACATCTTACAGTATACTACAGGCAAATAGCAAACCAGAGATCTGATTGAAAAGATTGGAATTGGAGATTTTTAAAAAAGTTTTGTGTTAATTTTACGCAATCAAAATTTGACACATTTATAGTTTAACAAAATAGCAATATTGTGAAATTCAAGCATCTTGAAGAATGTTTCATGAACATAGAATTGAATGGGTCCACCTGTATCCCTATTTAAACGATTTGTTTTTTCCCTTTCCATCCACAAATTATACCAACATCAAATACAGTGAAAGCAGGGGTTTCACCATGGGGGAGGGACATATAAAACAACAAAGAAATCATCTTATAAATATGTTAGAAACAATCTCAAGAAAGAAAAAAACATTTGAATCCTTATCTTGGGGTTCATTTCGTCTAACACCAACTTATCTGACCATTTCTGCTTGTCTCAGACATATTCTAGTAATTGCAAATAAGGGCCTGGCTTACTTCACTTAATACAATTTTTTCCAAGTCTTTCCATTTCCTAACAAATGGGCAATGTCATTCTTTCTGATGGAGGCATAGAATTCCATTGTGCATATATATCACATTTTCTTGATCCATTCATCTACTGAGGGGCATCTGGGTTGGTTCCATATCTTAGCTATAGTAAGTAATGCTGCAATCAACAGAGTTGTGCTGGTAGCTTTAGTGTGGTCTTGTTTGTAAACATTAGGGTAAATGCCCAAAAGTGGGATTGCTGGGTCATAGGGGAGCTCTATGTGGAGTCTTTTGAGAAACCTCCATACTACTTTCCAAAGTGGTTGCACAAGTTTACACTCCCACCAACAATGCAGTAGGGTTCCCTTCTATCCACATCCCCTCCAGTATCTGTTGTTATTAGAGTTCTTGATTTTAGCCATTCTAACTGGAGTGAGGTGGTATCTCAATGTTGTTTTGATTTGCATTTCTTTTATGGCTAGGGATGTTGAGCATTTCTTCATGTGTCTATTGGCCATCCTTCTTTCTTCTTCGGAGAAATTTTTCTTTAAATCTTTAGCCCACTTATTTATTGGGCAGTTGTTTCTTTGAAGATTTGTTGTTGGGGGATTTAATTTTTTGAGTTTCAGGTATATTTTAGATATGAGACCCTTGTCCGTTTTATGGTTAGTGAAGATCTTGTCCCAATCAGTGGACTTTCTATTGATCTTGTTAGCTATGTCCTTTGCCATGCAGAAGCTCTGCAATTTCATGCAATCCCATTTGTCCAACCTTTCTTTGATTTGTTGTGTTTCTGGGTCTCTTTTAAGAAAATTTGGACCTGTGCCAAGGAGACCTAGAGTTTCTCCTATTCCATCCTGTAATGTTTTCAGAGTGTCTGCTTTGACTCCGAGGTCTTTGATCGATTTGGAGTTTATTCTGGTACATGTATGTGTTTTAATATTGAATATTCAAACCAAGCCATGATTAACAAGTAATGAATAACAAAGAAAACATCATAAAAGCATCTCTTGTTATTTGTATGAGACCTCACACTTGGCTCTTACTATTTTAGGGTCCAGTAAGGATATTGTGATGACCCAGACACCATTCTCCCTGAATGCCACCCTGGGAGAGGTGGTCTCCATCTTCTGCAGGTCTAGTCAGAGCCTCCTAGATAGCGATGGAGATAGCCTTCTGTATTGGTTCCTGCAGAAGCCTGGCCAGTCTCCATAGCAATTGAGCCTTCGGTCTTCCAACTAAGTATCTGGTGTCCCAGACAGATTCAGTGGCAGTGGGTCAGGCACAGATTTCACACTGAAAATCAGCAGGGTGGAGGCTGAGAATTTGGGGATTTATTACTGTATGCAAGGCATAGAATTGCTTCGCACAGTCATGCAGCTCGTAACAAAACCTCCTTATTTGGCCTGGCCCAGCTGTCCTCATGTTCTGTTTGATGGGGCACAGCACAACAGATTCTTTGGTCAGTATAGCATAAAAAGATTGAATGATTCAGGATCTCACAGCTGAGCCCATAGAAAGGTAGGGGCCTGAGTATTCACTAGAGCCCCTGATAGCTTCCACATTCTTGATATGACAGAGCAGCGGGAGAATGACAACATCCAGGTTTCCTGGAGCAGCCAAGTAAGCAGAATATACGGGTTTACTTATAAATTCATTTCAATCTTCTGGATTCAGTGTACCTGTAATGGTTAAATTCATTTATGACTACAGACATATTATTGGAGCTGAGGCTGACTCAAGGTAATCAGAGCTCAGTTGTTGTTGTTGTTGTTGTTTTAAATAAACCTTTCAGGCAATTGTTGACCGGTAAGGTTTTATTTTATTCATTATACAACTTGTCTTCTCATTTCTTGTAGTTCTTTTTTTTTCTTTTCCTTATGTGTGTGTGTGTGTGTGTGTGTGTGTGTGTGTGTGTGTGTAAGCACGTATGCTCCAGGAGAGATACTGATTTCTTTTCTTTATTGCTAAGGTGATGTACAGAGGGGTTACAGTTACATCAGTTAGATATTGAGCACATTTCCTTTTGAACAGTGTCATACCTTCCCTTGCTTCCTCCCAGACTTACCCTCCCGACCCACGTCCACAGGTTGTATAGTTCATTTCAACATAGTGCCTCATGAGTACCACTGCTGCATTGTTCACGTTTGTCTCAACATTTATGTGCTCTCCCACTCTCTCTCCCAAACAGATAAACTTACATATAAGATAAAAGGCACAGAAAACCAAAACAGCGACAAAGGAGAAAAAACACAAAAGCAAAATAATTAAAAACGTCTTGTTTCCATTTCTTGGCATTCATTTCAATAAATATCATTTTATTTGATCATATGTACATAGCTATTGAGCCTTTATGATCCTCTCCTAAGAATATCCTCTTTTGGTCTCACTATGTGAATGTCTAGAGTCCTGTATAATTTTATCATATCGAAGTGTATTTTTTTTGTCTTTTACCACCCAGTGTGTTTACTTATAGATTTATAGGTACACGTTAGCTTTTTTTCCCTCTCTCTCCTCTAATTTTTGAGAGTTAAATGAATTTCTCTAGTGGTGTATTTTTATTTCATACTTACTAGTTTTGGCTTATCTGTTACTGATTTTGCTTTGTGGTTATTATGAAGATTACAAAAACACTGATTAAAATAATCTATTTGGAAATTACAACATAACAGATCATAAAGACAACAGAAACCAAGCTGGGTGCCAGTGGCTCCTGCCTGTAATCCTAACTCTTCACTAGGCTGAGACTTTAGGATTACAATTTCAAGCCAGCCTGGACAGAAAAGTCTGTAAGACTCTTGTCTCCAAGGAAGTACTCAGAAAAAAGGCCAGAAATGGTGGTATGGCTCAAGTGGTAGAGCATTAGCCTTGAGCACAAAGAGGCTTAGGGACAGCAACCAGGTCCTGAGTTCAAGTCCCAGGAGTGGAAGAAAAACAAAACAAAACAAAAAAAATAACTGCCCCAAATCTCTAAAAACCAACCAAACTCAAAACAAAACAAAACAGAAACACATGAGCAAGAAGAAATAGACCCACAAAAAATTATAGTTACATTCATGAAAGAAACTGCAATCAAACTACACATAGAACAGACATATATATGAACATTTATGTAACATTCCATCCAATGTTACAGAATGCAAAGTTTTGAAAATCAATACTTAGTGTGTTGTCCACAATAGATCACAAGAGAGACCACAGAACAAATAGCAAATTTTACAAGGCTAAAATCAGCTTATATCAAAAACAGGAGAAGCTATGGCCACTATGCAAATACATGAGAATTAACTCGCTTTTGATCAGTTAGGAAATTTAAAAAATGAATCAAATGAAAATGGAGAACAGTATACCAAAATCTGTTGGTGAGACTAAGTGTCAAATTCCTAACAGTCAATACCCACATCCAACAGTATAAAGTTCTCACATCAACAACCCATTCTGATATTTCAAGAAAAACAAGAACCAACTAAGTCCAAAATTAGATGGAAATACATAATAAACACTAAAAAAGAAACAAATGAAATGGAAACTAAAACAACAATAGAGGAGATGAATAAAATTAAGACCTGGTTCTTCAAAAAGACAAACAAAAGAGAAAAACCTTTAAGTAGACTGGAAAGGGAAAAAGAAGAATCAAATTAATTAAATCAACAATGAGATGGGAAAAATTATATCACAGAAACAAATAAGATCAAATGAAAATAAATGAGATCACTAAAGACTGTTCTGAGCAATAAGCCAACACATTTCAAAATCCAGGAGAAATGTACAAATTTATTTTTTATTATTTTTATATATATCATGAAGCAATAGGAAAGCTCAATGGATCACTAAAAACCAAGATTGAATCAGTAATAAATGTCTCCTATCAAAGAAAATCTCAAATAGACAATTTCCTTGCTGAATTCTACCATTTAAGGAAAACCCAGTACCACATTCTCCTTATTTCAAAAAATAGGAAGAAAAAGAATTCAAACCCAGTCTATGGTGCTGACACAACGGACACCAAAGTCAGATAAGAACATAACCGAATGGAAAACCACAGGCCAATATTCTTGATGAATGTACAAGTGAAATTCAACAAAATATTAGTAAACAGAATCTAGCAGCATATGCGAGGTAGACAATTATGATCATTTAATTATAATCCTTGATTTACATATGAAATATGATAAATCACCCACCACCTTAAAAATGAACATACTTTTTTTGGGGGGGTCTGGTCGTGGGGCCTGAACTCTGGGCTTGGGTGCTGTCCCTCAGCTCTTCAGCTCAAGGCTAGCGCTCTACCACTTGAGCCACAGCGCCACTTCTGGCTTTTTTCTTTTTGCTTATATGGTGCTGAGGAATCGAACCCAGGGCCTCAGGCATGCAAGGCAAGTGCTCTACCACTGAGCCACCTTCCCAGCCCCAAAATGAACATACTTCAGTGCTTGTCAGACACTTGGATTATCTTCTCCTTGATCTCCTTCAAAACTCATACTAGAGTTTGAAATCATGCCCTTTAACTCTCAGTATTCTCAACTGTCAGGATCAGTATATTTCTCAAAAATCGATATGAGACTCTTATCCCATATTAACCAGTAAAAATGCCAAAGCAGAGAGGTGACTGAAGTAGTAGAATACCAGACTGGAGTATAAAAGCTAAGTGAGAGCAATAGGTCCCAAACTGGATCCCTAGTACCAATGTAAGTATGTGTGCACACTCGTGCACATTCTCTGTCTCTGTCTCTGTCTCTGTCTGTCTGTCTGTCTGTCTCTCTGTCTCTCTCACATATACATGAAGGTGAAAAGTCCTTCATAAATCTGATCACAGCTGAGGATGACTGCAGCCTCTTGAGTGGCTAGGATTACAGGAATGAGACACTAGCACCCAGCCTTGTGCAGTATTCTTAATACTCTCTGGAACTGAATCCTCTCAGGCTGTTTGCTAGATAATTCCTATGGAATCCAGGGCCCTGGAATGGGGTAGAAGGACTGTTTCTGGACTGTATTAGCATGGAGATCTGGTCATTGAAGTCCAGCATTATTAGTAAGACCACTAGCATCTCCAGGCTCTGGGAATGCTAAAGGCAAAGCTGTCCAAGTCAAGGACATAGATGTGAATCAGGAGGTGTTCAAAATTTTGTGTAAGTTTCATTTGAATCCAATATATTTCTCTTTGGTCAGTTGAATTGGGATGGAGACTCTCTTCTAGAAATACTGACAGCAAAGGTGATGTCTGGGTTTGAATAATAGCCTCAATCACTGCTAAAGAGTAAAAGAAGAAAGCAGCATTTGAGGGGCCATGTCTATGGTATTCATTGACCAGCAGTGGTTTTTATTGAAATAATCATATCTGGTGCTACTAGTCAGCCCTTCATGGGATAATACCAAATAGTTCCAAATGGGGTAGAGTATGAGAGACATGAAGTCAAGAATAAGGTGGAGTCTATGAGGCGGGGGGAGGGGGGTAAAGGGATAGGGGGTGGGAGATAGGAAGGGATGGGAAGGGGAAACAAAGGAGGAGGCAACAATGCTTGATAAGAAATGTACTCATTACCTTGCCCATGTAATTGTAACCCCTCTATGTGGTATTTTCACAATAAAAAATTTTAAAAAAGAATAAGGTGTAGTCCATGTGGTTTCTGAGTATGAAAGAAACCTACAGTGCTGGATGATAGCGGAGTCCCATGTGTCCCACATAAGACATAAGAGTCACAGTCTTTTCTTTGTATATCTGCAGCGTATTCTTCACCATACACTAATGTGATCATGTTATCACTGAGGAGAAGGTATAAATCCTTTCCCACATGTGGTTCTCAGTCATCTATTTTGTCTTTGTGGTATGTGGGATGTGTTGGCATATATGTGAATTCAGTGGTAAATGAGTCTGTGCTTAAGTATACAGTGGCTTTAATGATGTGCATTGTATCCTCTTAAATGGTGAACCTTTTTACACCTGGAAGAAAAAGGATATGAAGGGAACTTTAAGACAGTTCATCCCAAGGGTATTTTCTTAACTGTGATTATATCATCTGTTATGGGCTGAGTTTTCTTTTCTGGGTTAAAATGACAAAACAACTGGTGATCAGAGTGCATGGCACCTCAATCAGTAAATTCTCCATAATGACTAGAAATCACATGGCTAAATACAGCTCAAATTGGCTTCAAATCTGTCTGTGCCTTTTTGTACATATCTATGGTATGTGATAAGAGATTTCAATTCATGAGCTTCATTTTGTTGCATATTGTTCTTAGAAGCAGAACTTGATCTTATTTCCACAAATAAGTCCAAAGAGAGGAAAGTTTTAGAAGAGGAATTGAGAAGGAGCCACTTGAATAAGATATAGAAGCTGTT